TGTGACGGTAGCTGAGTGTTAGGTTAAGTTTTCGCCACGGAAAAAGACGAATCAGAAAATTAATGGCGGACCATAACAGGACGTTTACCATGCATAACTTCCATAATTTTACACTGATTGTTCAAATATGCATGCAACTGCTTTCTCTGTTAGAGTTGAACCATGCATATCTGAGGAAATTCGTCAGCCGTAACGTTATAAAAATATATTCGTGGTAATGTGCAGCAAGACACTTGAATCACTTAGAATAACAAGATATTTGTAAAATCAGTAATTTAAAGACTTGAAGTACAGATCTGGGAGTTAAAATAACACAATTAATCAAGTCCCAAACGTTTCTCCGGTATCTAATTGTCTTTCCAAATATATTGTATGCCACATATGCGGGGTCGTGTCAAAATTTCCTGCTGTCCGGGGCCAGATTCTGATAATGCTGCCCCTTATACCTAACTTCAAACAAATTTGGGGGATAAACAAATTATAGATGTTGTCATAGATGAGAATGAATAAATTGAAGAAGATCAAGTAGGAGTGAATTTGTGTATTATCAATATTTAAATCATCAAACTAAACAACAAACGTACCCCTATAACGTGCTGCCTGGACGGCTTCCTCTATGCCCCCTCTACGTGCTGCACATGTGGTACTTTGATGTTTTACGATTTAAATTTTAAGGTTATTTGTGTGTTTTCATGCTTTGTGTTTGTCTGGTGTGCTTGAAATTATTTTGTACGATGTGCGAGTCAGGATAGGGTTTTTATGTTTACCTCCGGGGGAGAGGAAAGCCGATAGGACAGCTTAATCATGTGGCGAACGATGTCCCCTCGTCCGGCTACCAGTCTATGTCGGGTATTGGATTATTTAGGCCAGGATGGTCCAAGGTTGTCGGCTTCGCGGGCCACAAAATTATTTTTGCATTGTTCGCGGGCCACAATAGTGCCAACAATAGGTAAACCGTGCAATACAAAACAAACACTTTTATTGTGCAAACACATAGTTATCAGACATAGCCATCCCAGGCTAATAGAATTCGCATTCGAATTTTAGTTTTCTATGATGCCTATATTGTTAGCATACTTTCCCGACCAAAAAGATAGAAAGCCAGATAATAATTTAGACTGCCAAGCACAACATTCAACTTTGCTAGTTGCCTCAGCTAGCCATAACACTAGTCAATTCAGTGACATTATTGATGTAACAATATGTTAAGAGATTTTTCTGATTAATTTTACTACGAAACAACACGGAATGCGATTTTTTGATTACTCTCCGACTGTGACGCGGGCCACAGATAATAAATCGGCGGGCCACATTTGACCCGCGGGCCTGGGTTTGGACCACCCTGAGTTAGGCAGGTAATTATTTTCAAATGCATGGGTTTTGCATAAATTATCTCGTTGGTTTAATTTTATTATAGACTCTAGGTTTTTACACCTTCCCTGAATTTCCGTCCTGCGGGCTGCCAATGATTGTATCAAAGCGAATTGTAAAATGAATTTTTCTTGTTTATCGCTTTCAATTTTATTATCTTGAGTTGGGCAGGTAAATTTATAGTGACGACATAAATCATGTTGCAGTAAAATGAAGCAATGTACCGTGATGTCATAATCAATCATATAATGCCGTCACGTTTTGTCGGACATGTGTCGTCTGCTAAGGACGCTCATTTGTGATCGAACAATTGAAATGCTTTATGTTGTCACAAGTGGTGTTTGTGTAAAGTTAAGAGCCCTCGTGTTCGGTTATTAGGCGGAGTTCCGTCTGCCGTGAAACTACCCAATTTATCAGAATTTGTTAATTGAAGCGTGACGGAACAGAATACGCTAGCCCAAATGTACAAGTGCCGATGCTGCTATTTTTCTTGCGTTCATTATATCTCGGTTTAGGTTCAAATCATATATGATCTCACTAAGGTAGATCAGCCCAACATGCTCATAGTATAGAAATGAACTAGAACTTATTATTGGATAGTTTTAACATTCAACATAACAGTCCTGGACTGGCATTCGCGTAAGAGAACACTGTTCGCTATATGATCAAGTCGTCAGTGGCTTTCTTCTCTACCTATATAAATGAATGTTCGAGATATATCCGGTGATTGCAATGCCTTAACTGTTACATTGTTCAGAATTCTTTTAATTAATTGCTGTGTTCTAATTTGATATATTTGGCAGTAAAGAATGTTATTAGACTCGAAACGGACTTCTAGATCTTTTTGTTATGTTGTTGTTGTTAGTGTTCTTTTTTTGTTGTTGTTGTTGTTGTGAAAGAATCGCTTTTCCGTCCGATTTCTGAACAATCCAACTACCGGTCCAATTGTCTTGAACTTAGTGGTTAAGATTGTTATTGTCGGTAGAAGGATATAAATTGTCTGTGGGCCTATATCTGACTCATTTTCACATTGAAATTTTTTGTGATGACGCCTTCAAAATTAATTATTTGTAGCGGTTCTGCGACCTCTCTCATGCTACGCAAGAGTCAAACGCTTTTCGATTGTTGATTAACGGTCGTTGTTATCTAGTGGTTACTCGGGAAGACTGCGGTACCGGTAGTCTAATGTGATTGCATACCTGTGCTATTTCGTCTTGGCCTCGTGTCCACATACTTAAGCATTGCTGTCTTGTTAAGGTTAAAATTTAAATAAAAAAACATCAATTCTTATTTCCCGTGTTTTTTTTCAAATAATTTTAATCGTAATTTCTTCGTTTGAGCCACTTTTTTAACATCTATGTGCCAGGTTCTCCATTTTTCATTAATTATCTAAAAAATTTAAATTAAAAAGTTATATTTTCGTTTTTATTTATCCATCGATTAAAAAATTACCCGACGTGTAGTATTGATCGAAGCCTTTGTGTCTCGTCTGGAATTATCCTGGATAATTAAAACTCAGTTTCGATCGATTAAGAAATTTTTAAATTCTCAGTTTTGTTTCTAATTTCTCGCGATTATTTTAAATCTAAGATTTCAAGAAAAATATTTTTTGATTTAAATTTTCGATAATATTATTCAGGACGACGGACGTCTACACCTTAAGACATAAGGACAGTGTTGTGCAACCTTTAATACAGGAGAGCCAGATACAAATAACTGGGTAAAACCGCGGGCGCACTTTTATTCAACATATGCTTTCTAGTAGTTGCAGGCACAAATTTTTTAAATGTTAATCTTATGACATGCGGTGTTCGCTTCGCACAAGATAACTGTTAGGGCATTATAACGTCATAGGCATGGATAATTGGACTAAGGTATATCTTTGCAACGCAAAGGGATCGGAATTACTTGCACGTACCAGATTAAACTAAATTAAAAACTCGTATTGCGGGTCGCACACCATTTAAAATTGGCGCTTCTCCGTGGGCTGCGCTATTTTTCCTTGTGAGCCGCTTTTGGCCCGCGGGCTACGGTTTGCGCATCCACACCACTGCCTTAAAATAATCTTGCTGTTCTTGTTGTTAAGATTGTCATTGTTGTGAGAAATCATTTTTTCGCATACTAAAACTAAACTAAAATACCAATAGATTTTGGTAATATATAATTTGCCTAAACTTCGAGTCTCAGCATAAATAAGTCTGTCCGAATCAGTTTTACCATAAAGTTTGCATTTTATGACTGCTGTGATGATACCTATGATTTTCTGACTTTGCTAGTTTACGAATTAACAGTAAATAAAAAAGTTGAAGCCGCTATTACAGGGGTTGGCGAGGTTTTTGGACCAGGGGCAAAAAATGTTGCCCAACTAGACTGGCGGGCCATGAACGGGCCATTTATGAATAATATTTACAGTGTTACAAAAGCAAAATTAGAAAACAATAAGCCTCGTGTCAAAACTAAATTAAATCGGAATCTCAACAAATTCCTTGAGCTATTTTTAACTAGAACAATAAAATTTGGGGTTAGTTTGGTTATGGTAGCATTGGGCAAGCCTGATTCAATTACTCAGATTCATTATCTCAGCGGGTCAGATTTGGCTCGCAAGTCGTTTGTTTATGAAGCCGATGGGATGCGGCAACAATTTTTATTTTCTAAAAGTATCCGGATTTGCACTTCCATATATTTCATTCAAATTTTTGCTGTCTTATTTTAATTCGTGTAAACACTTTTTTATTATCTTTGACCTCCATATATTTGATCAATGTTCGTTTATTGGACACGAAGTGTACACATGAATAGTTTTGTTCTTTTTCTTGTTGTTGGTATTTTCCTCGTATCGCAATCAATATACCAATTGCTTTTAAAATTGTATTTTCCGCTAGAAAGCAATTATTTTTATGTATTCCTAATCGATGGGCGGCTTATATATGGTATTTTATTTGAGTAATTTCAATTTTTTGTCGTGTATTTCGCCCAGTTTAGTGTTTTGTTTTAAAAATGTCAAAAATTATCAAACATTGCATTGTATAAATTAACCGCATCTTGTGAAGCATAAGCAAGCGGCTTCCAACTCTTCTATCAGGATATTTTAGCTGAGAAAGTTTCAGGACTTACTTTAGTAAATTGTACTTTTCTTTCAATTACTTTTTTGTATTTCGTCCGATTTGACGTTACAAAATCGCCGTTTGCTCAGTGTTCTCACGTTTAAGAAAGGAGTCGGTCGAGTCAATGTTTTCTGTAGGAAATCCGAGTTCTTGCTTCGAAAAAACAAGAAAAGTAGCGATTTCAAACTTAACGCGCCCCAAAAGATGGCGTAGACAATTGCTGAGAGGGCGTGAAGCTAATTAAAAATAAAAATATTTGTTTGACTTGATCTTGTTACCTTATTTTGGATATTTACATTTCTTTATTTGGTTTTTACGTTCCATCCACGCATTTTCAACGTGTTTTTGTATGAAACATACTTTCGCCTTACTATCTGTTATTTGTAGCTCGTTGACTAATTATTTTTGGGGTGAGGCGCGAAATTTGGCAAATTCTAAAAAAGCGTGACTCAATAAGTTTGAGAATCACTGCTTTATGGTACACAACACTTCGTTACATTTTATTTATTCTCCACAGATTTTTGTTCCAAATTTTTCTTAAAAATCGCCATAGACTCTTAATGTTTACTTTAATGTGGTATGACACATGATTTCTCGATATTTGGAAACACAGCGGACCACTCAGGAATATTGCAGTCTGAAATCCGGCCGTTACGGATACCTTTAGCGGATAGACTTAGTATAACTGGTAGACGGAGTTCACTTCCAACCGGATCTACTGCATATAACCGGATTACAACAAGACAATCGGATAGAGGTTACGGATTTCCGGATTTTCCGGATAGTCACAACCAAACAATCGATCTGGCTTCCGCAGTATCGTACCGGACTCAGTCATCACAATACCACACGGGGCAGCAGCAATATTTTCATAACCCCAACCCGGAAACGGGGGTCGTTTTCCAGGATCCATCCACATTAGCGGGGTATACATCTTACCCGCTGGGGCAGAACGCATTTACAAGGGGTTTGAAAGCCCAACATGAAAATTTAAAGAGGAGTTACAGCACAGGAAGTTCGGAAACTTCACGTTTTTTTACTTCAGGGCCTGCGCCACATACCGGGAGCAATATTGATCGTTGGGGCCGCACGGACCCCACTTTGGCGTTCCGGGAACGGGGACATTGCGCTTCTGTTGACGAAAGCGTGCTGAGTGCCGCTGAGCGTCGCCAGAGACTTCGTAACCAGCACAGCGAGGGGGGACTAACGGCAGACGACATTGCTTTTCTTGGTAGCCAGCAGTACCACACCCCCCAAAATCCCCAATTTTTGTCCTCCCATCATCACACACAATTACTTCAAAACATTGTTGGGAGTATCGGAAATTTCGCTACTTCGGGGAATTTCCCCTCCCCGACTACAGCATCTCTAGCTCCCCCTACAGGGGGCGGGTCTTCAGCCGCAAACTTAAGCGTAGCAGCTGTGGCGGCAGCGGCGCAAAGATACCCGCAGTTATTAGCGGGACCGGCTGCAGCGGCATTAGCAGCGGGAATTGGGTCTTCATCTTCCCCTAGAACTAATCTAACAGACCCCGGGGTCCTGGAAGTTGCTACATTGTCCCAATTCCAACACAAACAGCCCCAACAAGGGTATTCCCGCCCCGGGGAAGAGTTTGTTCACCCCTCGCTGCATTACCACCGGCACAACAGTGCTGCAGGTATAAGCCCCAACACTGCGGCAGCAATGCTAGCCTACGACACACCGCCCTACAGCTTCTGCTCTATCCAGGTGATGCATAACATCAAAATATATATGTATATACATTTTTCAATTTGGTACCCGTAATACATTTATATTTTCGTAAAAAAGTGCCTGTTTCAGCCGATCCATTTCTGATCAAAATTAAACAAGCTCGCAACCTAACGTCACTTTAGACGTGACTCGATTTGACTTTTGACTCGATTTTACTCGGAGTCCAGAGATCAAAAATGATTAGGAGAACAATGTATATATTGCATCCTCTCTTTTGGCAAGTCATATTAAAATGAAAATTCACTTGATTTATTGTATGTATACCTGGTATAATGTGCCAGATTGTGACTCGTACAACGACTAAATCAGGGGAAAAATACAAAGCCCTTAAAATTTCATAATTTCCTATTTCAGGACGAATTTCATCCGTTTATCGAGGCGCTCCTCCCCCACGTGAAAAGTTTTGCTTACACTTGGTTCAACCTGCAAGCTAGGAAAAGAAAATATTTCAAAAAACATGAGAAACGAATGAATTCCGAGGAAGAGAGGGCAGTGAAAGAGGAATTATTGCATGAAAAACCAGAAGTGAGATTTCCTTCACGCGATTTTTCACTCAAAACGAGATTCTGTGAAGGCAGCCACTGGTACCCAGTGTTTCGTACTACTTTTAAAATTTGCTATTGCTGAGTTGTTGATGGTGTAAATATTAACCCTGAATCCTAATTCAATCTTGAACCCGGAACTGTGAACCCAACCCGGAAATACAATCGCGATACCTAAAATATTTAGTGGGTCATATTTTTGTTTTCAATTTACTTACTCTGCATTGTTACCGTGTTCAAATATACGTGTGTGAGCTCAAAACCAGAAAGTCTCTGGGAATAAATTTATTAAACATACTTCCATTGCACATAGAAATTGATTATTTTCCTTATAAAGGTTCAACAGAAATGGGCGTCACGGCTTCTTGCTAAACTTCGGAAAGATATTCGACCCGAATTCAGGGAGGATTTTGTCCTGTCAATCACCGGAAAGAAACCGGTTTGTTGTATTTTATCGAACCCGGACCAGAAAGGAAAAATCCGGAGAATAGATTGCCTGAGACAAGCGGACAAGGTATTCATTTTTTTGAGTGGTAGGAGGTAATTAAATTAAATTTGGGGAGTGAGTAGCAGAGAATTGTTTGGGCGGTTTTGGTAATGATTCGAATTTTTTGGTTTCGGAATTTCTTGGAGGTGAGAGGTGTATTGAGGGAATTCTGAGAATAAATTGCCTAAAACAAACATACAAGATGGGATTGGAATTTTAGGAGTAATGCTAAAATTTTAATTTATTTGGGGGAATTGGGTTTAAACATTAAAACATGTTTCGTTACCATGTATATGCATTTTTTTCTGAACATGTATTTTGTATCCATCTTCCAATATCAGGGACGTGTAATATTTTTCGTCGGCTGGCTATCTAACTAACTTTAGACATCTAGCAGGCCACACAAATATATTAGTTTTTCATGAAAGCAATGAATTACAAAACTTGGCACAACGAAAAAACTATCGCTTAGCCTAACAGTAATGAATACACCGGGCAAAACGGCAAAATATATTTAACGCAACGACAAAAGCAAAAACAATATGTATTTTACCCATGTGAGCGCCTTTTTATACATAAAGGGTCGGATGGGAAATAATCTGAGTGTTGACAAGAGCCACGCTAAATGACTTGGGGCTCCGATTCGTGGCCCGCGGGCCGCCGGTTGCACACCACTGTTCTAAATTAACCCAAGATATGCAAAATAAGTAGTAGTTTCGGAAAATTAGTGTCAGGATAATACCACTATAACACCCGCTGCATATTTCATACCAGCGGAGAGTATGTTCCAGGACCTCATGGCTGACGGTTGATGTGACTCTATATTCCCACAGGCCTTGATATTTGGCAACAAACAATTTTTAGGATAACCTGGCGGTTAGCGGAAATATAGTCTCCATCTCTACACATAGGACACGTTAGTGTTGAAAACGAACAGTTTGGTCACGAGAAATTTTGAAAACATGAAAAAAAAAAGTTTATGAAATTAGTGGCAAAAATATCGCGTCATCACGAATGATACTAGAACACCAGGTCCCTAAACGTTCCTACATGGCCCATTTCTGTTAGTGAATTTTGTTGATCTATCTTTGTTAGACTTCCACATAGCTGACGGTTTATCGCGTCTTACTTCACGCTGAAATGCATCATTTTCATTTTACCTCACTGTTTGTACTGCATGTACTGCTTGTACTGTTTGTACTGCATTTTCGGTATATGAAAAAAATAAATTACTTACTGACAAACAGCACTTGTCGCCAATTTCAACCCAGAACCACATCAGCCGCATTCGCAACCTCATGGATTTTCAGCCAGAATTTAAACCACAGTTACATGAGGGCCACAGTAGATCGAACATAACTCGGCAAAAATCATTTCCCCGACTTGGCTGACAAACTGAAATCGTCGACGCCATTTTGTTCAATGACGGTTGGGATATAAAAACAATGAATAAACGAGTGTCTATTTTTGAATTTGTCAGCTATTCTAGAATTTATTTGGGAATAATACTAGCTCTCAAAGACTTTATAAAATTATGAACTTGGCTTATACTTTCCTTATGAGGTTATTGGACCAGGGAAGTCCACATTAAAATAGCTCTATGTTCAATATCAGGAATGGCAAACATTTTTCAATGAATGTGTCAGAAATGTCATTTTTATTGCCGAAAAGAAGGCTGTGGGTCATAGATGTTTCATCAATGTTTGCATCAATAAGAAACTCACTGCTGCAACTTTTCCTCGAGTCTCATAATATTTGCCCGATATTGTGTAGTCTTGAACCTCACTAGTAGTTCACTTTTTGTTGCCTATAGAATTGAGGCGAATTTTAAAATCAACTCCTATCGCATTTTAGTGTGTTTCTGGCATTAATTCGTGATTTGGTCACCGGAAAAACACGATGGGTCACTTTTTTACCTACGGGTCGGGGGTTGGCATTTCTGTTCGAATTTTGACGACCAAAAATTTGGCGTATGTAAGACTCTTTGATTGTCTGTACTCTGCAGTCCGTCCATTTTCAACCAATAGGCCATGTCCCATTTTCAGATGTGCCACAAACCTATTAAAAATTGTAGAGTTATTGATAAATTAGTTAAACTTTGATTGTAGTAGCAATCAATGATGATGCCGTTTTTTGCTACTGAGTGGTAATTTTCATTCTAATTATTAAGGTGAAGAAGTCTATATTGGCATAATTTTATTTTTGTATTTTGTAATTAATAGGTCACAGAGTTTTTGCTACTAAACTACTAAAATAAGCCATGAAAGAAAGAAGTTGAGAACCGCTGACGTGGCGTTGACGCTTAAGACTAGAATGTTCATCCCGATTATAATTATAAGAAATCCCGACTCGATAAAATTGTTTTTCAAGGCAACTTCCACAACTCTCACCCTGCTTTATCTAACGTCCAGATTAAAAAAAAAAAATTTTTCGGTCGAAGGTCGCTAATATAGAGGACGAGGCCACAAGATAGGGTAGGAGCGTTAAATGGCTTGCTTCGATGACAACTAGAAACGGCGACTCAATAAAATTGTTTTCAAGTCAACTTCCACAACCCTGATCATGCTTTACCTAATGTCATGACCAGCAAGAAATTAAGTTTTTTGATCGTGAACCGCGTATATAGAGGGAAAAGCCACAGCGAGAGTAACAGCGGTAAATGGCTGGCTACCAACTCCTAATTCAATAACTGAGTCTTTCTAGTTTGGCTGTTCTGACGCCTACAGACACATCGAGCTGTCATCAAGGAATTTAACATTTTAGCGTCTGGCGGAAAACTGGTCTCACTCCCACGAGACTTCCTCTCCCTTCGGCACATTGGCTGTTATCTCGTCAGCTTGTTCCCACAAAATATTTGAAAACCTTCCCACAATAATATTGCCCTCCCTAGGCGATAAAAAAATTTGTAAAGTTGAATAGCGTTGTATGGTATTCTGGAATTACCAAAATCGAATGTTCTAGTACAGTTGTTCTCAAACTTTTTCAGCAGCGCCTCTTTTTTAGAATTTGTCAAGTCTCGCGCCCCACATCATAAAAAACCAGCTAACAATAAGCTACAATAAAACAGGCAAAAGTATGTTTTATTCCCGAAACACGTTGAAAATACGTGAATAGAACGGAAATATCCAAAATTAAAAATGTGAATATCCAAAATAAGGCAGGCAAGATCAAATCTAGCAAATATTTTTATTCCTAATTAGCTTTACACCCCCTCAAAAAAGTGTCCACGCCCCCTTGTGGGTTGTACCCCAACTTTTTAGAATCACTGAACTTCCATTGCAGGGCTACTCAACTGGCGGACCGCGGTCCGAATCTGGACCTTTCGGGTATGCGATTCGGACCGCGGCTAATTCTTTATTTCGGATCATTAATTAACCCAACTTTGGAAGTTTCCAGTTATAAAATCACTTTTATAGCTTTAAATATATACGAAAAGAACTATACTGCCATAATAAACAATGTTGATTAGCTAATAATCATTAGTCGGCCGAGAAATTGCGTGTTTAAGGATGCGTAAATATAATTTCTGGAAAGACCGGACCCAAATATCTTTGAAGTTTTGTATGCGGACCTTCGGTAAAAATAGTTGAGTAGTCCTGTTCTAGTGCAGGGTGGACCAAACCAAGGCCCGCGGTTGTGAATATATGCTAACAATATAGGCATGTTAGAAAACTAAAAATCAAATGCGGATTCCATTAGCCTAGGTTGGCAATGCCTGATACCTATGTGTTTACACAATAGAAGTGCTTGTTTTGTATTGCACTGTTTACCTTGGTACTATTGTGGCCCGCGACCAATGCCAAAATAATTTTGTGGCCCGCGGAGCCCACAACCTTGGACCACCCTGTTCTAGTGCATCTGTTTTCAAAGTGTTCCGTGATGAGCCCCAGGGCTTCGTTAGAGAAATGCAGAGGCTCCGCGAGCTATTCGTTTACTTATCAAAATACTGACTTGATTAAATTTGTAACTGTTCAAAGAAAAAATAACGGCATTAATAAAATAAAGCAACAATGTAATTCAAATAACATAAGTTTCAATAGACAACAATGTTCTAACAATGAAGTTTTTAAATTTTATAAACTTATTGTGAGTCTACGTAAATAATAGTCATTCTTTTCGTAGGCTCCATAACACCAAAAGTTGGAGGACCCCTGATCTAATATTTCTAATACATTCTGAAGGAATATAGAGTACATTGGGTTATTCGATTTCTATTTAAATGTATTTGAATATTATAATTTGGCCATTTTATATTCCAACCAATCTCAATGATCTGTTGTAGCGTGGGTTGGAATGTAGTGTGTGTGTGTGTGTGTGTGTGTGTGTGTGTGTGTGTGTGTGTGAGCGTGGCGAGGGTCTTGTTTTGAATTTTTAAAGTATTTCCAAACTGCAGTTGTTTGATTTTTTTTTCGAATACCCCTGGATTTTGAAATTATTCTAGTTCGGCGTTATTACACAAGTATGTGTGAAAAAAGATTATTTCGTCTAAACCAGATGATCTCAAACGTTCACAGGGGGGGGGGGAGTCAAACTTGCAATGGGCTTTCAATTCCATTCTGTATAATTCAACAGCCATTTTTATATTTCCCATTATCTCATGAACAGCCCCTGCATTATGAATACAAAGACCATATAATTTATAAGTTTGGACTTCATCTTCCCACTAAAATATCACGAGCTCGATCGCAGTTTTGTTGATTTTTGAAGATTTGCTATATTCACACGTAATTCTACATGTAGAAGTCATTGGTTATTCAATCAATGAATTTGGGATTGAAATGGGATAGAAGTTGCGATGAAGTAGAATCTAAAAAATTGGACGGAAGTCGTTACCAAACAATATACATTTCTAAATACATTCATGCAATCGCAATTTTTTCTAATTTTGCCTTCAATTGCCTTTACCGTTCCCTAGCTGCTTGTCGAAGGCTTGTTCACAGCGAAAGTTCAAACAAACACGCCATTAAAAACGAATTTTTCATCAAAAAAATTTCTGACATTCACAAAAATCGGAAAAATTTATCTGA